TTCCTCATTTTGATTGGACAGGGTATAATGTTTTCGACAAAACTTCATATTCTTTTTAACACATTCCTCAGTTTTATCTGAATTATCTTTTTCATGTGTCCTTATATTTTTGCAGGCCATTAAGGCCTTATCTCATATAAAAAACGTGTAATACCTTCAGGAATTGTCATATCAGGTTTTATTTTGGCTTAATGACTTAATGTAAGTAAGTCCATTAGTTAATTGATGGACTTGAAGTGTTTTAGAATATTTACATATATAATTGTTTAATAGTTTATTGCTAATATATTAATTTTTGTCTCAGTTTTGGGGGAAGAATGAATATACAGATGTCGAGCTTGCGTGATAGGGCGCGTGAAAAATGGGATACTTATGTTATATACTTTATTTACAAGTGATATGGATTTGACAATTACTTTTTGATGAATTTGAAATGTAATTTTGAATTTGACACTATAGTTCGTGTAAGTTAGACAATAAATTTGTAATTTAGTTTGATTAAGATTTGGTAGAATATATATATATATATATATATATATATATATATATATATATATATATATATATATATATATATATATATATATATATATATACTAGCCGTCTACCCGCGCAAAGCGGCGGGGCACGTGAGTTCTTTCGGTGATATGTTTCCATTACAAAATTGTTATGTTAAAAAAAGTACATGTTGAAGACAATATAATCAAACTATGGTGTTATTTGTTACATCATGCATCAAATAACCAATAAAAAGCAACCAGTCAAGACGACACAAAATATTAATCGTGCAATACTTCTTTATACACCACATTTGCTGTATAAACCCCATCACCTTTTGAATTTTCGTTAGGCTTTACTAATACTTTTGTATTGCAATGTGAAACCCCTCTGGACAATGCAACATAAAGTTGTCCATGCGAGAATACTGGTTCTGGAAGATAGATACCTACATATGGAATTGTTTGTCCCTGAGCTTTATTGATTGTCATTGCAAAGCACAATCGAATAGGAAACTGTTTCCTCATTAGAGGATCGATGGTTGCTACTAATTGCTTGTAACTGGTATTGGTTTCATATCGATGGATGTGGATTCGCATATGAAATCAATTGTGTTCGCATCTATGAAATCAGTTCGCATATGACATCAATTGAGTTCGCATTTGGTTTTGTGGGTCAAAACAGTTCGCATAAGAAGTTCACGATTTGTTTGAGGTTAATTGATTTTGATTTCGCAAGCTTGGAGTCGGAGATCTGGATTGTGTTCGCATCTATGGAATGCGAGGAGAATTTAATGGTGATATTCAGTTCGCATTTGGTGACACAAGTACGTGGTTGATGATTTTTGGTTGGTTCGCATTTGAAATCAGTGGGTTTCGCATTTGGGTTCGTATCTGGGTTTCTCAAACAACTGAAATGCGAATATGAGACAATTGATTAATTTCTCAGTTAATGCGATGAAATGCGAATGAACTCAAAGACGGATGGATGCAAGATGCGAAGAATTTGAATGAAAATGCGAAGTTTTTAATGTATAAATGCGAATTGGGGAAGAAAGCTTAGAGTTTCGCATTTGGCACCTGATCTTTTCAAGAAATAATATAAGTGGTCCAACTTCGCAAAATGGGGTCATTTAATCAGAAAATCGATCATTCTTCAAATATGACATTTAATCAGAAAATCGATCTAAAAATGAGACATTTGGTGTTTATCGATTTTTCAGGGTCGACGGGTTGTATGAAAAGCGAAGGCTGAGTAATTGAAAATTAGAGGATCGATGGTTGTTGCTACTAATTGCTTGTAACTGGTATTGGTTTCATATCGATGGATGTGGATTCGCATATGAAATCAATTGTGTTCGCATCTATGAAATCAGTTCGCATATGACATCAATTGAGTTCGCATTTGGTTTTGTGGGTCAAAACAGTTCGCATAAGAAGTTCACGATTTGTTTGAGGTTAATTGATTTTGATTTCGCAAGCTTGGAGTCGGAGATCTGGATTGTGTTCGCATCTATGGAATGCGAGGAGAATTTAATGGTGATATTCAGTTCGCATTTGGTGACACAAGTACGTGGTTGATGATTTTTGGTTGGTTCGCATTTGAAATCAGTGGGTTTCGCATTTGGGTTCGTATCTGGGTTTCTCAAACAACTGAAATGCGAATATGAGACAATTGATTAATTTCTCAGTTAATGCGATGAAATGCGAATGAACTCAAAGACGGATGGATGCAAGATGCGAAGAATTTGAATGAAAATGCGAAGTTTTTAATGTATAAATGCGAATTGGGGAAGAAAGCTTAGAGTTTCGCATTTGGCACCTGATCTTTTCAAGAAATAATATAAGTGGTCCAACTTCGCAAAATGGGGTCATTTAATCAGAAAATCGATCATTCTTCAAATATGACATTTAATCAGAAAATCGATCTAAAAATGAGACATTTGGTGTTTATCGATTTTTCAGGGTCGACGGGTTGTATGAAAAGCGAAGGCTGAGTAATTGAAAATTAGAGGATCGATGGTTGTTGCTACTAATTGCTTGTAACTGGTATTGGTTTCATATCGATGGATGTGGATTCGCATATGAAATCAATTGTGTTCGCATCTATGAAATCAGTTCGCATATGACATCAATTGAGTTCGCATTTGGTTTTGTGGGTCAAAACAGTTCGCATAAGAAGTTCACGATTTGTTTGAGGTTAATTGATTTTGATTTCGCAAGCTTGGAGTCGGAGATCTGGATTGTGTTCGCATCTATGGAATGCGAGGAGAATTTAATGGTGATATTCAGTTCGCATTTGGTGACACAAGTACGTGGTTGATGATTTTTGGTTGGTTCGCATTTGAAATCAGTGGGTTTCGCATTTGGGTTCGTATCTGGGTTTCTCAAACAACTGAAATGCGAATATGAGACAACTGATTAATTTCTCAGTTAATGCGATGAAATGCGAATGAACTCAAAGACGGATGGATGCAAGATGCGAAGAATTTGAATGAAAATGCGAAGTTTTTAATGTATAAATGCGAATTGGGGAAGAAAGCTTAGAGTTTCGCATTTGGCACCTGATCTTTTCAAGAAATAATATAAGTGGTCCAACTTCGCAAAATGGGGTCATAAAAAGACAAAAGTGCAGAATTTTCATTTCGCATCCCTGTAGTCTTCGCAAAATGGAAAATTTTACCCAGTTTCGCATTTGGGGTAAATTTTTTTGAGAAATTGGAATATTTTCAAACTTTTTTTCTTAAAAAAAACACATTGTCTTCGTCTAAGAGAGGGAGAAAAGCGATTAGGGTTTATAAGGGAAATACTTCATGGCAGTGAGATTTATAGCAGGGTTTATAAGGTGGAGAGAACAAACACACGTCTGCTATGAGATATTTTAATCAGCTGCAAATGCAACATTTAAAGGATATTTGTTGAAGCGTATTAGGATGAAATGTTTTAAATTTTGAATGACCATGAAATTAGGATTTTGCTGAGAAATATAAGGAATCAAAACAAATTTAAAATTTAATATTATTTTATTAATGGTTGTTTGTAATATTAGCTTAATCGTTTGTACGTCTTAAAAAAATAATATTATTATATTCAATCTATTTATAGAAATAGTTAGATTTCTTTTATAAGTAGTAAAGATATATATATATATATATATATATATATATATATATATATATATATATATATATATATATATATATATATATATATATATATATATATATATAACCATGACATACAAAGTATGTCGTAAAACTATGTCAAAAAATCATGTTGTACAAAACATTTCGTACTTTGAAGTCGTAAATGCCTGTCATAATTACAAAAATGTTACGAATTATGACATTCAAAGACAGTCGTAATTTGAAGTCGTAAATGTCCGTCAAGAAAAGCTTCTTTTCTAGTAGAGTAGTAGTGTTAAATTCTATTTTTCATGCATGGTTACAGTTTACCATTTTAAATACTTTTTACGCAGATTTTTTTTGTTGCATTACAATTTCATTGATTTTGATTTCTACAAAAAAAAATATTACTCCAATGGTTAAGCTTATGTAATAGCTTTTTTGATAAATTTAATTAATTTACTCTTATCTTTTTAAAATGTTTTATAAAATCATTTTTTATTAATTACTCTATTTTTAACAAAAATAATTATGGAATACGAATATATAAAATATCGGTTGATTATTTATGTAAGTAAAACACGAAAAATTATTATGTTATACTTACAAAAATAAAATAAAAACATTGAAAGTATTATATTATATACATAAAAGTTATATTTTATAAATAAAATGTTACTAATATTTAAGAAGAATAATTAAATAGTAAAGAAATAAAAAAATAGTATATTTTATAAATAAGACGTTACTAATATTTAAGAAGAATAATTAAATAGTAAAGAAATAAAAGAATATTTAAAACTTATAATGAAAATGCTAAATTGAAATATGGTTAAAATAAAAGGGGTTATATGTATAAGTTGCAAAAGTATATTGAAAGTAGTCAAAATAAAAAAGCAAAAAGTTATATTCTCTAATGGTAATAAGTGTTTATTTCATAATAATAAGTTATTAAAAAAAAATTGTCATTATGCTCTTATTTCTTATTTTTCAGTTTATACATAATGACCCATCAATTTTTAAGTTTATACATAATGATAGTATTACGTCTTTAAGACCTACAAACTACAAAGGTATCATCAGTAGAGTACTTCGACTTTATATATATATATATATATATATATATATATATATATATGGTTTTCGAGTTAAAGCTCGACCATGGAGTCCAAACACAGTCCCCATATGACCAAAACTACAGAACTCAATCAGATTTTATGCTAAGATCAAAACCATCTGAAATTTCCTATTGGAATAACTTGCCATTCATATAAACAAAATGTGTCATTCAAACTAAGAACAAAAAGGATCGGAATACCAAACAAAATATATATATATATATATATATATATATATATATATATATATATATATAGAATGGTGATCTAGCAAAACTAGTAACTAGCAACTGGTTTCTTAAAATGCATGCGATTTTTTACAAGAGTTCTTGTGATTTCCTTACACAACGACCCACCTTCTTCCTGAACTCGTCCCTTTTTTCTCTCCATTCTTTCTGCAATCACATATCAATGGTTAAACAAGTATAAATCCATGAACTTTCTCAAATGTTCATTTGATCGAAGGACTATTTTTACTTTCTTTTAAATTAAAAAAAAAAAAAAAAAAAAAAAAAAAAGACACTTCTAGACAATGAAAAGCAACAGGAACATGAAAAAAAAAAAACGTGGGTGTTACCGCAGCTTCCACATTTGCAGGAGATTCATCATTGGGGCTAGAAAGCATTGATATAATACTTAAAACTATGCTCTCCACCTGAAAAAAAAAATATTACATTTTGGATTTAGTATGCTAAAAATAAGTAAAGTTTATTATGCATTTTTCAAAATAATCAATTACAATATTACATACCGTATGGACTGGTGTCCAACGCTCACTTGCAAGCTCATAGCCATGAGGATCGTCACCAGGGGGATGAAGGATTGATATACAGACTTTGCCATCTGAGTAAACTGGACAAAACCAAAGAGAGAAAGAGACATGATCTTTCTCGTAAAAAATAAGGTTTTGGGTCTAGAGTGATTAAGACAATAATACTGTAAAATAAGTGCAAATGGTGTATACTAACCATTAGGATGCCAAATCTCGGAGGTAAATCTCACTGTTGGAGGGCTATTTGGATAATTTTGTGGAAATGTCATTATAGCATTGAAGAAACCCTCCGCACTAACAAAACACATCCACAAATCAGAACTGAGAAACAAATTGTAACATAACATGTAAAGTCGATAAGGATAGCCTCCTCTAGATCCATAATATTGTAACATAACGTAAAAAGTTAAACTCCAATCAAAAAGCCTAATGAACCTCTATTCAACAATTTCACATCATACATCAAAGTTTAGACATTAGATACCCAAACATCAAAAGGGCCACAGCCCAAGAACAATTCACTACATTGTATCAAGAGGCCATAGAAGCTTGATCAACTTATAAGCCTTATATAGAACTATATAATATAATAATCATATAACTTCTTAAACCACAAAACCCGAATATCTAATTACAAAGCAGATACAGAAACTCACTATAATGTATCGGGTGGCCCGATAATCGTGACGCTCCATTCGAAAATATTGCTTTCGTCAACAAGACCGGCCCAGAATCCGTCAATAGGATTTTTACAGAGATCTGTAATAAAAAACAAAATACGGATCATCATCAAATAATTTAAAACTATAAATGATATGTTATTAAGTAATTAAAACAATCAATAATATCATATCAAATGGAAAACTTAGAACTGAAAAAGTAAGACCTTTGAGCTGTTTCTGAAGAAGGAGACTAGCCTGAGATGGAGATGCCATGGCTGCGATGCGAGACAGAAGGTTCTAGACAAAAAGGGTAGAAGGGGGAAGGGGTTAATGTCAGCCCATTCGATTCATACGTAAACAGGGGAAGATCTCCATAAAGTGGTTGTTATATAAGCCGATTCCGAATTATGCGATAACGAAACGAATTTATTGAAATTTTATAAGAAACGATTATATGATTATCTATTATCTTTATTCGTATTAATTTAAAAAAAAGATTCAATACCTTAAATTGACTCGTATAATACTTTTTCATTGAAAAATACTATTTACTTTATTATTAATATAAAATAACACATTAGAAAATAAATTAATAATTTAATTAAATATATTTTATTAATCATTGTCCGTGGCAATATTTGAAGAGTTGATCATACAACTTGTGATATCATATTTAAAAAGGATTTTCAAATATGCACGCACATATAAGAAGCATTAATGATAAATATCACCATAATTAAATATAAAATACATAAATTATAATGAATATTACCATAATTAAATATGAAATGTATTAATAGTATACATAATAAATGTATTCTAAATTTAATTATGGTAATATTTTTCATAATTTATACTTATTATATATGTGGGTAAATATTAAAAATCTCTATTTAAAATATCCATTTAATCATTTATAATCTTTAATATATGTTAAGTTTCCTTTTCATACACATTACGTTAAAATCATATAATTAAGGTTTCATGAACAGACTAAAATATTGGATGTGCGCCATAAAGGGTTTATGAGTGTTTGAGAACTTCTAGCTTCGAGCATTTGACGAAAAAAAAAATCTTTTTTAACAAAAAAGTCTCGTTTGACACTACAAGCTTTTAGTGTTTAGTTTAAGGTTATATTTATCGTATTAGCTAAAGAGCTAGCTGACTGCTGAAATCCTTGACTGTCGACTCGTGGCAAAATCCCAAACTATTACAATAAACAAACACCCAATTAACAATTGGGATGCCATTCTTGACTAAGGGCCCAAACATAGGGTAATTGTCCATTTTACCCTTTCCCTAATTGGGCCAAGGCCTAAGTCCAAATCTTTGATCCAAAAGGTCCAGCTTACTTCAAAGCCCATGATTGACCTAATTTTCCAAGATGGTCCCAAACTACTTATTAAGCCTCATCCAAAGGTTCGATCCTCTACTTAGCCCAAAACACACTTATCCAGATGGTCCATTAGGGCTCAAGTATCAAAGCCCAACAGATGGCCCAATACCCGAAGCCTAAAGTCCGAAACCCACACAAAAGGCGTACATGGGGCGTACCCTTTTGGTACGGTGGCGTACTTCACCTCATATTGACCACCATCGGGGTGGTTGACTCGATACGCGGGGTGTACACTGTCTTACGCGGGCCGTACCCTCGTAGGACTTAATACCTGTTTGATTAGTGTCTAATTCCATAACTATTTTAGTATGTACTTGACCCGATTGTGAGCATGGTCCTTTTGGGTTGCCTTCACACTGGTAACTAGACAGGATGACTGTTGAGGAGAGAGGCTGGTTTATTGTTAAGAATAATAAATTGGGGTATAAATATGATTTGTTAATATATTATATGAATAATATATTAATTTGGAATCATATTATTAATTAGTATTTAATAAGAAATTAATTAGGAATTAATTTCAGGATTAAAAGAATTAATTAAAAGTACAGGGGTTGTTTTGTAATTATTTGATAGTTGAGACTTTGGGCTATTAGATCACCTTTATTAAGGCTTGAACAAAAATCCTAGAAGGATCTAGGAGTTTTCGTCCAAGGGCTTAAGGAAAGTAGTCAATGGACTTGCTTAGGCCCTAAGCTAAGGGATTAAGGTTTCCACCTTGAAACCTTAGCTAGCCTTAAGTATAAATAGCACCCTAAGGCACTAGAATTCATCCATCCCTTGGGAAAACCCTACTAGGGCCGAATTTTGGAGCTTAGTAACCTTCCTCCTCTCTCTCATATTCATCCTCTCACTCAAAGTGAGTTTGTGAGCCATTAGAGGTACTACACTTGTGGTACTTGCTTTCAAGAGCTAAGGAAACTCAAGGAATTAGTTGTTATTACTATATAACAACAAAAGGTATGTATTCTATTCTCTTATGTCAATTTCGAAAATAGTAGATGCATGCTAGGTTACCATTTGTGTTCATAAAATTGTATGTCTAATAGTGAAAACATAGATCCATATTAGGGTTTGCCCTATCCTACCCGTTCGAATCACCTACCGCTTCCTTGATTGGTGGAGGGTCGTTAGCCGAACAGGTAGGATAGGGAAAACCCTTTCCATCAAAAGTATAATGAATTATGAAGTAACTAAATGTTTTACAAAATTCCCAATCTTAGTTACTTTAGGCAAAAGTGAAGTTGATGCAATTCCATGAAATTACACTTTATACCCTTGCGAAGACGTTAGTGGAGCGTGTGTGGTTAACCGGCACGCTAAATAGGATCTTAGCAAAGGTAACGAAGGGTGACTCGATGTTTTTCATAGTTCGGTAGAGCATGTGTGGTTAACCGACACATCGAATATGTGACTGTAACATTGGGGGCACCATATAAGTTTGCATGGTTATTCACACCCTGTTTTGTGATCCTCGGCATCCCAGTCACAAATCAAGGGGCATATCAAGATTTAAACATCTCATTGAAAAGTTCAATGAATCTCAAAGGATCTAGGAGTTTTCAATACATTTCAAACTTAATCTCCTTTTTGTTTTTCATGGTGGAAAATTAGTGAATCTTCATTCACTTACCTTCAAATGTTCTGCAATTTGGATTAAGGCATCCCTCTTCCAAATTGTAGAATATTGTGTCGGTCCTAGCCTTAATATCTCATTTTGGTGTTTTATTAAGGATTCATTCAATTAACTAACTTGAATTTTTACCCGTTTTGTAGATGTCAAAGTCTGACAACTATGGTCTTCTTGAATCCGTTAGAAAACGTTTTCCACGTGAAGATGATATTCCACGATTTGATCGAGGAACAAGAAATCATGCTTCACTTCCTCCACCTCCTCCTATTGTTCTCCCTAACCCACAAGTTCAAAGGCTTGAAAAATTCAAGCTCACTCAAGCCTTGTTGGTGATGAAACATGAAGATGGAAAGTCAGTGTGTGCACACGTATTAGATATGAAGTCACACATTGATAGGTTAAGAATGTTAGGAGTCATTATCTATGAGGAGATGGTTGTTGACTGGGTTCTTCAGTCACTCCCTAAATCATATGATAAGTTCATAAGAGAGTATTATATGATGGATCTTGGTGCGACCCTTATTGACCTAACTTACATGCTTATTGCTGCTGAATCAGAAATGATTTGGCAAAGTAATGGAGCATATTTGTCTGGTAATTCAACCAACCATGCTTCTGTGGTCGCTCTAGTAGAAGCCACCTGTTTCTGCTGCTAAGAGAAGGGGCGTTGGATACGAAGCTGCCCAGAGGACCTGAAGAATCTAAGAGATGGGAGAGTCAAGAAGTATGGCTTTGATTCAGGAAAATTCCACTATCTAACTCCATTAAGTTCCATTCATTGATTCTTAATACATAATGCGATGAGATTACATTTAAATGTTTTGCAGGATCAAAGAAAAGAGAGGAAGCTTGGTGGAAGAACAAGATAAGTCTGGTCACGAAGAAATGGATCTCCATCACAAGGATTCGCAAACCAAATTTTGAACTTAGAAAGTTGTGATAGAATTGTTAGGAATATTTTATTACATAGTTTTTTAGTTGATTTTGCATTGTAAGGACATGTTTTCCGCTACTTTTATGAATAAAATAAATTTTTTGGTTTGTCTGATTTATATATATCCTTGCAATGAAATCGTTGTGAAAAAATTGATGTTTGTGTATTTCTATAAATGGATGTGATTCTTAGTTATGTTATTTATAGAAGTGTCAAATTTCTCTAAGTAATGAAAGATTCCTATCGCCCAAGTTTAAATTGAACAGAAAATTGGAATCATACAACTTGTATTGCGTGATGTATGGAAATCTTGGTACTTAGGAAATTAAGACTACTTCCTTGATCACACAAGTATGTGAGTCAAGTGAAGGACTAAAGAACTAGAACACAATGTCATGCATTAGTCAAGTCCACCACAAATAACAATAAGACTATTCGTCATAACTTACTAAAAGTCTAGTGAATGTGGTTATACTTACAAGATCAAGTGTAATTCTGAATCATTGAAAGGTTTCGATGAATGGGAGAACGAATAAGAAGAATCAATTAGGTAGAAAGATAAAAGTTTCTCCAATCTAAGAAGAAGGGAGAGTAATTTAGTATCGGGTTTTATGATCGTCTTAATAATTAAGAACCATATCACAATTGATCCTTTAAGGACATCTTAGTGCACTAGTATGGCTAAGAAGAGGAATCGGAAATTGTTGAAATGGTTAAATCAAAAGGATGAGTCATACTTCGTTCCAAAATCAAGTCTTAGAGTCATACTCCAAGATTGTGACTTGAGTGACATAATCTTATGTAGGAATGTTCTTACACTTGCACATATTGGTAAGTTATGATGTATTGAATAAGACAAAGACCAACTAGTACCAAATTGCGTGTAGGTTTTGTCTTGATATAGACACACTAACTCTTGGATATTTGTTTTGTGAAGAAATGTTTCTTGATAAGAGAATCTTATATGTCAAGAGGTCAGTGGGAGTCTAAATGATCTTGAAAAGTTTCAAGAACTAATTAAGGGTAAACCTATTATTAAACACTAGCACACGATTTGAGGTTTATAACCTATCGTGTTGACAAAATTTTATTTCCGTGCCAATCCATGTAAGTGATTATGTATATGAGTTCTACGAGTTCTCAATAGGTTGCATAAGCGCAAAAACATTGTTCAATGAAAGTACATTGACTGGCATAGGTGAGCTGCTAAATAACTTGGAAGCAATGGTGGGATACTTGATGGCAAGAAATTAAGAGTGAGCAAGTTATGTCCATAAGAGTTTGAATATGTCACAAACATTATCTTTCGATTATGGTTATGACAAATTCACATGGATAGGAACACATACACTATAAAATCTAAGTGTCATAAGGTTTCTCTGCTTCATGAAAATGATTGTGAGGAAACGCTTTCTCTAAGAGAGATTTTAAG